TGCAAATCCTCTGTTCTGCTGAATCTGTTTGTCTCTTGTAAGACGAGTTACAGACTAATGATGCATGTGGAGACAATGCTGTCATTATGGAATCTACACCAGTATAAGGAGCAAGAGTCAAAAAATAATAGCATCATAGTCGTAATCCACAGACTGGGCAGTCTCGGTGGTTTAGATTGGACTTCTGTTCTGAGTCAAATTTATCAGCTCCGTATCCAAAACGTTTGAGTCTTTTCCTAAAGTTGTTAAGGCAGTACTTGTTAAAACCATCCTCAGATTTAGGTATGGGATTGCTATAATGCATTGCAATATGATTTCCTTGAATTATCAACTTTTAAAAGTTGGTTTCTTTTCTTTTTTTGGGGGGGGCTTTTTTTAGTGAGGCAATCAGGGTTAAGTGACTTGCCCAGGGTCACACAGCTAGTAAGTGTCAAGTGTTCTGGTTGGTTTCTATCCAGCTGGTAGCATCTTGCAATTGATGATACTCTAGGAAAGAGGAAACATGGCTTACACCTATTTTTCTCTTCATCAGCTGCACATCTACAGGCTGAGGGCCTTCAAAGGATTCCATTCTCTTTCTAATATCATTCTCTGTAACGGTAATAGGAAGTGGGGGCAACATAATTGTCTTACTCTCCCACTCATTAATACCATTCCTGTAGTCAATATTGTCCATAGTCAACATCAGAATGGTAACCATTTTCTGATCTGTCACTATTCCTTCTCTCCCTGTTCCCTCCATGGTCTGTCATAATCCCTGGAATCATCATATCCACGGTCCCTTTGATCATTACTAGATCTTTTATAATCTGAATCCTTTTGTCTGCTTCATCCTGATCATCCTGATCTATGATGGGACTGTATCTTCCATTACTCTCTGTTCTATTGACTCTTTTGTCTGAACTCATAGTATTTTAAGAGAGCTAGTACGCTGCTCCAAAAATGGCAAATGTCTTTTCAAGAGGCAGTTGGGATCAAGAGAAAGTTCTGGGAGAGAGCATGGACAAACCAGTGCACTCACCCCTATCTGTGCTAACCTGGCAGATCAGAGTCACAGAGGCTCCAGCAATCGTCTTGGATCTGAACAAATGGCGACTCCCCCGAATGTTGTCTCCTACCCACATAGCCCCTCTCCACTCTTATCTGGCCACTACTGGCTGGAGCCTCTAATGCTTCTTAAACAGCAGGCTGGACATTACAGTAGTTCAGGTTTTCATATAAGCCTCTTGCTTGCTCTTTTTCACAGATTGAAATGTTTGTGTTTGTTGGTGATTGTTAAAATCAGTAGGAAGGCAGGGAGTAGAAGATATGAAACTGACCAAGCAGGAGGGAAGGACATTTTTTCTTCTCCTTGATAAGTTGCTCCAGACACACTTACTTGTATGTTCCTTTAGGGCAGACACTACTGTTTGCTTCTTTTTATATCTCCGGTGTTTAGCACGGTGCCTGGCACATAGTGAGGACTTAATAAATATTTATCAATTGATTGACGGATCTGGAAACCTTTTTTGATGATAGATAGTTTGATGGTCATCAAAAGACCTAGGTTTATGTGCTAGACAGCTGCATCACCAATTCACAGAGTGACCTGGGACAAGTAGTTGACTTCTCTGGGTCTCAGTTTCCTCATCTGCAAAATGTACTACTTACCACATAGGATGAAAGAGGGATCACCTGCCTACCTATGGCCTGCCTTGCTGATAAGTTTCAAGCTTAGAAAGTTAAGGACATATTAGGAGGAAGCTTAGAGAGGTAGGGAAGCATAATGTAGAGGAGTTGGTGTCCAAAGACCTTGATTTGCATTTTGCCTCTGCTGGTATGAGCAAGGTAACTGTGGACAAGTCACTTAAGGTCTGAGTGTCCCAGGCAGCTCTCTTAAGACAATAAATGACAATTAAGATGAAGATTGGTAGAGGGAGTTTTCACACCTGGAACTTCCACAATGATGAAATCATAGGTCAGAGCTTAAACAGAAACCAAAACAATCATAGGAGGGCTGGGATAGGATGGTGACTGAGGAGAATAGTGTCCATACGGCCAGGATTCTAGATGATAGGTCGTCTGAGGTAACCCTGAAGAGTGACTGGGAGTACAGTGCTACCACTGACAGAAAAAGGGAAGGAAGAGAAACCAATTCTGGGAGGAAGATGATTAATTTGACTTTAGGCTTGTGGAGTGTGAGGTGAGAACATGACCCTTCTGTAGAGATATTCTGGTGTTGATAGGATTCTAAACAGGATGGGCTCTTATGGATCTTAAAAGATTTCAGATCTTAAGTATCTGCAGTAGTATAACTCTCCGATTTTATAGCATAGGAAAATTAAGCCAAGAGGAGAAGGGATTTGCCCAAGGTTACAAAGCTAATAGGTGTCATAGCTGAGACTAGAACCCGGGTCAAGTGTAAGCTCATGGCCCCCAGAAGTGGAGCTTGAGAGTGAACTAAGGACTGGTACTATAGATCCTGAAACTGTGTTAAGTGAAGCTCTGAGGATGAGTAGGCTTTTCAAGAGAGAAAGAAGTGAAGAGAAAAAAAGCAGTTGTTGAAATATAATTCCTTTCTTAACTCAACCCCATGGGAAATTCAGGAATCAGATGCTGTCAGATCTAGAGCCTGGGGCAACCTTAGCTTCTAGCTTATCACAAGCTCCCCAGAGTTCACTGAACATCTTCAAGGTTGAACTCACAGCTGGAACTCTTGAAATTTAATTTGTTTTAAATGTTTGAACCGGAAGGGTCTTTGGAGATTGTCTATTCCAGAGCCTTCAGTCCAGAGTTGAATACATTCTGAAAGAATGGCTAGACCCAAGGTAACCTGATTATATCACACATTCTTGTTACTGCATGTTGGCATTCAGTTATTGGCAGGACCCAGTCTGCATGCCTGCTGTGGTTCTTCCGGTTGATCAGAAGAAGGTTCAGGTACTCAAACAAGCTCTCCTGAGCTAGAATCTTATGTGAGCAAGAAGAGAGGAGAGCTAATAAAAACCTCTCTGAGAATGGGAGGAACAGATACCATAGGCAGAACTTGAACCCAGGCCTTCCTAGCTCTGAGGCAGGGGGTGGAGGGGCAGGGAGGGTTATGCTTGATGAGTGTTATGTCCACTATTTAAAAGTTCTAGGTTTTGGTAGGAAACAGACGAGGTTCCTGGGGCTGAGGCTGGCTGGGGCTCCTACCTGCTCTAGATGAGCTTTGGTGGCCTGGCCTGGCCCGGCCCAGCCAGGTACCCTGAGTGCCAGAACCAGGGGCCAGGCAAGCTTCTTCCCGGGAAGGCGGGCGGGAGGGAGGGAGCGAGGGAGGGAGGGAACGAGGGAAGGGAAAGGAGAGCGAGAGCTGCCTCAAATGCTTGGAATAATTCCGCTTCCGTTTGGAAAGGGGCAGCTTCAGTCTCCGCGGCCGCCGCCTACCCTGCCGCCTTCTCCTTCGGTGCGCCCCAGTCCGAGCCGTCCCGGCCCTCCCGGAGCTCCGCTCTCCGCTCCCCGCCATGGCAACCTCCCCCCAGAAGTCGCCCTCGGCCCCCAAATCTCCCACTCCCAAGTCTCCCCCGTCCCGGAAGAAAGATGACTCCTTCTTGGGGAAACTTGGAGGAACTCTGGCCCGGAGAAAGAAAGCCAAGGAGGGTGAGTAGGGCGCGGGACTTGGTTCCCGGGGGCTCCCTCCCTCCCCCCCAGCTCGGAGCCAGCCCAGTCGGACAGCGCCCTGGGAGGGGCGGCCAGGGCAGGGCAAGGCAGGGCTGTGCAGGACTGGGCTGGGTTCGGGGGGCCCGGGGCTGGCCAGGCTGGCTCTGCGTGCGTCCAAGGGTGGGGGACAGCGCATCTTGGGACTGTGAGATCCGGGAGCCCAGAGCTGGCTGCGAGCCCCGGGGCTGGAGGGTAGGGGGATTGTGCGTGCGTGTGTGTGTGCGTGTGTGTGTGTGTGTGTGTGTGTGTGTGTGTGTGTGTGTGTGTGTGTGTGTATGTGTGTGCGCGGCTGTGTGTATGTGCGCGCGCGTTTGCATTTCCTGTGGAAACGTCACTCTGGAAAAATGCGGGAGCCCGGAGCTGCTCCAGGCCTGCCCCGCCCCCCGCGGGCCGGCCCAGCTGCCCGGATGTGCACTCCCTCCACCCCCGGCCTGGCCTGGCCCCTGCCCCGGCTCCCCGGCTGCTCCCTTGTGCTCTGCGCCATTGGCAGTCCCAATTCGAGAGCTGCCAGCCTTGGCGCGGGGCCGGGCTCCCCTCTGGGGCCCTGTGCGCCTCCTCATGACTTTTAATGGAGGAGCCCACCCCCCCTCCCTCTCCTAGGGAGGGATGCAGCTCTAGGTCTTCCCGGAATGGCCGGAGAGGCCGGTGGGTTGGATTTCTGTGCCGCCACCAGGCTTTGGCAGCTGAACAGGACGTGCGGGGAGCTGCCCCTGCCCGGTGTCTGCTACAGCCTTCTCCCCATTCCCCGAAAAAGGGAGGCCAGCACTGGGCAAGGTTACTGGGCCTTGGTCCATAAGCATCTCTCTCTTACTCCCAGCATCCGCTTTCAGAGGTCCTCGAGGGCCAGGGCCATAATTACAATGAAGATGAAAGGGTGGCCCAGGCAAATTCCCAAAGCATTTTAGAATATGCTGCTCCTTTTCGGCTTCAAGGACTTTTGAGGTAGGGACTCACTTTGCAGATGAAGCATACCAGGAGAAATGAGGTGACTTACGACGACTCACCCAAGTCCTGACTCTTCAGTCCAACATTATCCTTTATCCTCTACCCTACAATCTTAAAATATTACCTTTAGCTGCACTAGAAAGACCCAAACTGGCTTACACTCAAGTGGAGAATTCTTATCAAGTCTACCCTGCCTCTTCGGATCTTGACCGCGCCTTTCAGAAAGCAGTGAAAGTATGGCTTCTCCCAGGCTTGAAGTTGTCTGTCCTTCGTTCTGGAAGAGGACCATGACATCAGGGAGGTGATGCCACGACACACAAGTGAATTGGATTTAAGTGAGGGAGGGCTGTGCAAAGTCACCAGCTTCACTTTCTGCTCCAGAGTCATGTGGGTCCAGTGGCCAGATATCGATCAGGACATGGAGATGGCCCAGGGTGCAGTGAGGGACCTTGATAACAGAGCTGAAGGTGAGGGGGTTTAGCATCCTGTGGAAGGTTTTATAATCTCTAAGTGCCAGAGCTGGGACTTGATTTTAGGCTTGTGGGGCCACTCAGTCCCTCAGGCACTTGGCTAAGAGCTGGGAATTTTAAAAAAAAAGTCAATAAGCATTTATTAAGTGCTTACAAAGTACCAGGCATTGAGCTGAGCTCTAGGGATACAAAGAAAGATAAAAGACAGTCCCTGCTCCCTAGGGGCTCACAGTCTTATGGGGAAGATGACATTCAAACAGCTACATACTAACAGACCATATATATATATATATGTGTATATATATATATATATATATATATATGTGTGTGTGTGTGTGTGTATATATATATATATATGTGTGTGTGTATATATATATATATGATAAATGAAAGATAATCAAAAAAAGGGAAGTCACCAGAATTAAGGGAGGTCAGGAAAGGTGAGAAGGTGAGATTTTAGCTGGGGCTTGAAGGAAAACGGAGAGGAAGAGGGGGAAAATTAGGAGAAAGAATATTCCAGGGACAGCCAATAAAAGTGCTGGGGATCAAGACTGTGCTGGGTTCAAGCCACAGGAAGGCCAGAGTGCATCACCAGGTGCATTAGGAAGGAATCGGGTTATGAAGGGCTTTGAAAGCCAGAAGATTTTATACTTGATCCTGGAGATGACAGGAAGCCATCAGAATTTATTGAGTGTTGTTCAATCGTTTCTGACTCTGTGACCCCATTTGGGGTTTTCTTGGCAAAGATGTTAGAGTGGTTTGCCATTTCCTTCTCCAGATCATTTTACAGATGAGGAAACAGATATAAATAAGGTTAAGTGACTTGCCCAGGGTCACACAGCTAGTAAGTGTTTGAGAGAGGATTTGAAATCAGGAAGATGGGTCTTCCTGACTCCAGGCCTCAAATTCTATCCACTGTACCACCTAGTTGTCCCTACTCATATGTTAGTAGATATTTAATAAATGCTAAATTAATCAAGCACTTATTAAGTAGACATTGGAAATACAAAGGCAAAAATGAAATAATTCCTGACCTCAAACAGTTTATATTCTGCTATACATAAATGCATAAATATTATATATACATATATAAAATTTATATGTACCTATTCATATATATTAAAACAATACACATATAATATATTGTTTATTTTATATGATATGCATACAGATAGATGGATAGACAGAGACTGAAACTGATTTCACTGGTGTAAAGAACCCCAAGGTGAGGAAACTACTGATACCAATGGACATCTGTGCGTTCTCTGAAATGTCTCATCTCAATGAATGGCCTAGAGCACTGAGTCTAAGTGACTTACCCAGGGTCACACAGCCAGCCTATGTCAGAGGTAAGACTTGAACTCAGGTCTTCCTGGGCATTTCTCTAGCCTCTGTACCATAGCTGCCTCTGATAAATACAACACAAAATATACAATACAAACACATACTCAACACAAAGTAATTTCAGGGGAATAGGGAAGAGCACTAAGACCGGGAAGAGGAGGAGGTAATGTCAAGACCAGGCTGGTTCAGGACACGGCACTTGAGTGAGCCTTTAAGGTAGAGTTTGGCAGAGCATCCAAGGCACAGGAAAAAGCTTGTGTAAATGCTAGGAGGTAGGAAATGAAATGTCACATATTGGGGAATAACAGGCCAGTTTGGCTGGACCTAGAGATTGTAAAGTGTTTAAGCAGCAAGCAGGTGGAGTCATTTCCGTTTTATCCTAGAGATAACAGGCACTCCCTGAAGTTTCTTGAGTGTTAATCTTGAATAAATGAATAAATGAGTACACGTAAGCTCATTGATGGCTATATAACCTTGGGGAAATAAATTACCTTCCTGTTGCCTCAGTTCCCTTAAGAATTTCACAATCAAGCTCTGCCTTCTCTTTCCAGTTTGATCATGCAACAATACGCCTTCCCTCACGCTCACCCATTTTTTTTCTCCCATGCATGTCTTTGAACAGGCTGCCTGTGTAGTGCCTATAGTGCTCCCCTTCCTCACTTTATCTTTTGGGAATCCCTACCTCCCTTCTAGGTTCAACTCAGGGGCCCCTTTATGCATGACCCTTGCTGATTTCCACTCCCATGACAACACTCCTTGTGAGAGCCCTTCCCCCTGAAATTACTTTGTATTTTCTATAAAGGTATGTGGTACAGCGGAAAGACCAATGGATCTGAGATCAGAGGGCCCGAGTTCACATCCTCCCTCTCATGTTTGCTGCTTGGCTAACCTTGGGAAACTTATATAATCTGCTCAATGTTCTATAAAATGGATGTATTGGACTATGTGGTCCCTAAGGGGGTCTTCCAGGCTTGACCCTCTATGGACTATGGTTTGTTTGGAGTCATTTTAAAAAGTTCACAGACCCATAGTGAAGGACCTCTGATTGAGGGCAAGACTCTCCAAGGCAGCATGGTGCCCTCACTAGCCAAACCACCTGCTTTGGAGACAGAGGATCTGAGTTCAAATCTTGGCTCTGTCACTCAACTACCTAGGTCACGTCACTATTCTGGGCCTCAGTTTCCTCATCTGGAAAATGAGGGGGTTGGATTCTAAGGTTTCTTCCAAAGCGATGAACCTAGGAAAGTCTCAGTTGTTCAATGCTGGAGATAGCTTTAAGCAACAACATTAGACATGCCAAAGAGTCAGTGACATTTTAAATCTGTTCAAACCATTGTCTGTGACCCAGGGATGGAGAAGCTGCAGAAACCCCCAATGAGCGCCTGGCTTTGATCAGTCCTGAAGTTGACAATTACTGATTAAGCATATACTGTGTGCCAAGCCCTGTGCTGGGCCCTGGGCATACAAAGACAAAGAATGAAACAATCCCTACTATAGGCTAACGGAACGGATCAAGTACACATGAAAGTATACATAAATGTAAAGTTATCTGTGGGCAGCTAGGTGGCAGAGTGGATAGAATGCCTGGACTGGAGTCAGGAAGACTCATTTTCCCTAGTGCAGATCTGGCTTCAGATACTTACTTGATGTGTGACCCTGGGCAAGTCACTTAACCTCATTTGCCTCAGTTTCCTCATGTGTAAAATGGGCTAGAGAAGGAAATGGCAAACCACTCCAGTATTTTTGCCAAGAGAACCCCAAATGGGGTCACAAAGAGTTGGACCTGACTGAAATGACTGAGAAACCACAATAAAGTTGTTTATATTATAACTATAAAATGAACATATATGTGCATACACACACAAGGACCAGATTTTAGCTCTTCTACTGTTAGCAATGACTAGGGGGTTTCTCTATAGGGGTGGGTGGCCCTTGTCTTGGAGGTAGAAGAAATGCCCCCCAACCCAGCCCCACACTCTCCCTCCCCATCTGAGGCCAAGCGTGGACATCTGGTCACTGTTCCCTACTTGTGCAAAAAGATGTTTCTCTTCTCAACGGGGAGATCCCTACGAAGAAAAGAGTGAGAAGGGGCTTGGTGCAGGATTACAGAGTCGGACACCGCACGGCCTCCAATTTCAAAAGCCACCGAAGATCTCTGGGCCGAAGAGTTGTCTGGCTAATCATATCTGTAGGGAGAAAATCCAGGCTATCTTATCATTCCCCAAATCTGCTAATATCTAATTATGGAGCTCACAGTGGGGGAAAAGGCCCCTGTTGCCTGGAGGTGATGGCTAAACATCCTGCAGAGCTTTCTTTTCTTTGTCTTCAATTTCTCCCAGGCCTGGCTTCTGGGAAACCATTTTGCACAGACTGAGGAAAGACAGCTGGACATCCTTGATGTAAAGCAACCCTTTTTCCAATCTTAGTCTGCACATTTCTGGGATCTACTCTAAGACCTTCAGTTTGTTTTCTGAACTGTTTTAGGCACCAGTGAAGGGGTGCCTGCTTCTTACTGGGGCAGCCAGCTCATTCCACTTTTGGATAGCTCTTATATAGCACAACTGAGTTCTTGTTGTCATGCTTACATCTGTCTTTGTGACTTGTATCCATGGCTCCTAGTTCTTACTTATTCTCAACCCACACAGAACATATCTAATCCTTCTTAAAGGCTGGCAAATAATGGAAGACAGCTTTCATTTTCCCAATCACTCTTCTCTTGCCCAGGATAAAGTCTCTTTTGCTGGTTGTGTATGACTCTTTGTGACCCCATTTGGGGTTTTCTTGGCAAAGATACTAGAATGGTTTGCCATTTCCTTCTCTAGCTCATTTTACAGGTGGGGAAACTAAGGCAAAGAGGATTAAGTGACTTGCCCAGGGTCACACAGCTAGTGTCTAAGGCCAGATTTGAACTCATGAAGATGAGTCTTCCTGCCTCCAGGCCTGGTGCTCTGGGCACTATGGCACCACCTAGTTGCCCAGTCCCTTCAATTGATCTTTGTATAGTATAGTCTCCAGTCCCCTCACCAGCTTGATCATCTTCTGGATGCATTCTACCTTCTTCATCAGTATCCATTCTAAAATGTGGCGTCCAGGCTCTATAGTCCCATTATATAGGCACCCCTTTCATCTGAAATACACAGACTCAATTTGATATTGATTTTAACAAACATTTATGAGATACTTATTGCTGCCAGACACTGTGGGAAACAAAGACGAAAATGAAGCAGAGCCTGCCCTCAAGGAACTTACATTCTACTATTCAAGAAGTTGGATGTAACATGTAATACATGTACCAGATATATTTTATAACACATATACAGACAGGTTAAGAATGGTATGCAAAGTAGAGCTAGACTTTAGTAGACATCTAGTCCGGCCTCCTAATTTTATCAGTGAGGAATCTTAGGCCCAGGGAGGAGAAATTACTTTCTCAAGTCCACAAAGGTAACAATTTTCAGAACCAGACTCAAATTTATACCTTCTTACTCTAAATCAAGTTCTGTTTTTCATCAGTCCACCAAGGTACTCTAGACTTGAGTAAAAACAAACAGAAAGGAGAGACAGTATTCAATTTCTTTGGGGCTCAGTGCTTAATTTCTACTAAACTTCCTGCCTAATAAAGGCACCTATGTGTAGCTTTGGTGTGAAGAAAGAGTCCTAGACTAGAGTAGAGAGATGTGGTCTCAAGTGTCATTTCCAACACTTACAAATTCTGTGACTATCAGAGAGTTACTTAATGTCTCTGAGCCCATTTATTTTCTCATCTATAATATAGGGATGTTCTTGTAAAGGACTCAGTAAGCCCTCACACCAGAGGTGATATTTCTCCCTGAACACTCCATACACCCCACCTGCTCATCCATCTTTGGTGTCCACATCTCACCCAACTCTCACCTGTGACTCCGAGAAGCTTAGCATGAGCATTGGCCATGCCCCAGTAAAGCCGTCTCAGCAGATGGGTTAAAGCAAGTTGACAGGACTCAAAGCCTTTGGTGAGTCAGGGGATGTCTACCTCGAGTATACAGACACTTCATTCTGGATCGATGAGAACAATTTGTTCCAAAGGCTGGGAAGTCGGCTAAAGCAGGTGCCATGGAGTGCTCAGAGCTTGGTCAGACATCAAAGACTCCAAGGTCATCCGCTGCATCCCAGGCCACTGCCAGTTGTCTTGACTTTTGTCCTGCCACTGGACTCTGATGACTGGAAGAGAAAGTGAGGCTGACCACTTTGTGCAGCTGTACCTCACTTAAATCCAATTCATGCACAAGTCAAGACATCACCCTGTAATGTCACTGAAGGATCATTATCATCGACAACAACAGGGATGTGATATTTACTCTACATACCTCTTGGACTTGTTGTGAAGATCAGTTGGGATTTTACATATATATATATATATATATAATATATATTATATATATATATATATATATATATATACATATATATGCACGTATGGTATATATATATATATGCACGTATGTGTAATATATATATATATATATATATATATGGGCTTGTGAACATGAGGCTCCATAGAAATATACATGATTGGGGCAGCTAAGTGGTGCAGTGGATAGAGCACCAGCCCTGAAGTGAGGAGGGCCTGAGTTCAAATCCAGCCACAGACCAAATGCTTTACATTTACTAGCTGTGTGACTCTGGGCAAGTCACTTAACCCCAATTGCCTAAAAATAAAAAAAAATATGCATGATTGTTATTATTAGGCTTTATCAGTTGTGCCTGAAATCTCATTTTCCCTGCCATAATCAGGCTCCTCTCCTCTTGGATCAGGTCAGCTTGGTCACTCCAGAACAAACAGAAACTTTACAGGCTTGCAAATATACTTTCACTTCTAAAGCATCCATCAGTGAACAGCCACCTACTAATGAGGACAGTCAGTGATGACTTTGACTTTGTTCTCAGTTTCAGCTGATGTTGTCTAGGTGACTGGCAAAGATGGTGGTGTGAGAGGAAGCAGTAGAGCCCAGTTCTCTTGCACAACTACTCTAGAAAGGACTTTATAAGAGCCCCAGACAAAGTAGCAAATGGGAAATCCAAGGAAAAATTGCAGTGGGTCCATTTTTTTTTTCAGCTCAGGTTGGCACAGGGAGACACCCAGAGGCCCTTCTCACCTTCCTCCTACTCTGGGAGCAAAACCAGCCCTTCCACGGATTCAGACTTTAATCTACTTATAAAACTCCTAGCAAGCCACATCGAAACGGCCTCAGATTGCTGGGGTACTCAACTTGAGACATACACAACTACTCACACTGCCTCACAGCTTTCACGTGGATGAACATTCATCTATGGGCAAAGAGAGAATAAAGTCTGTGAATCATACCACTCATCACAATGAACGTCCTAAGCCTTCATCCTACTCTGTTTTGTGCTCTTCATTCATATACTGCTAAATATAGTTTATTAGCTATGCCTACACCACTGATCACCAGCATCAGGAGAACATTGAGATCATTTTTTTTCCCCTAGCCTAGGGGTAATAAATAACTATAGACAGCTGTAAACCCTCTTGGGGGCCATCACACTCCATACTCTTCAGAGCCTATCAGAACCTATCTAAACTTTAAAAGATTAATCAGGAGACATCAGAGGATGAATTTTGGAAGCCCTATTAATTCATGAAGCCCAACTACTAAAGTTAATCAGGAGAGGGCTAGACACCAGGAAGATGAATGTGTGGGGAACACAGAAGTTCTTGAAGTTCTACCGCTGAAGTATTGACAGGTTGTAATTTGCAAAAATGGACAGACTACCTGGATAGATTGAAACATTGTTCTATGAAGAGTTAGGGTGGAACCAAGTGGGGAAACACCACAATATGGTAGAGATTACACTGGATTTAGGATTAGAGTCTGAATCTTGGCTCTGCCCCTCACTCATCTGTGTGATTTTGGGCGAGTCACTTCACCATGTGGGGCCTGGTTTCTTTATCTGTAAAATGATCAGCATTGATTAGATTATCTCCGAAGTTTCTTCTAGTTCTATATCTGTAATTCAAGTGGCTAATTTCTGCCATTATGAATGGGTGGCTCTTCCTATAGGTTAAAAAGTAAAAATAATGTAGTTTCTCTTTGTTCTGGGCTTCGTGGGTTAAATCCTTAGCAGTTATGGGATACTGGATTTCCAACATGACCAGTATGGTAAAGCAATGGATTTGGAATAAAGGGACCTGGATTTAAATAAAAATTGCACCATTTATGACCCATGTGATTTTAGGCAAGGTGCCTTACCTTTCTAGACCTCAGCTCCCTCATCTATAAAATGAGGGAGTTAAATTCAATGACTTCTAAGGTCCACTGAAGCCCTAAATCTATAATCTTATGTAATAATGAGATTAATTTGGAGGGATAGCTTTTGCAATATATTTTTAATCTGTAGAAACATTCTATGAGTTGAAAAAGAAGCATTTACTCTCTATTAAAAATCTAGGGCCCAGACTGAACTATTATAAGGGAAAGGGGTGGGAGGGTATCAAATGTCCCATTCATTCTTTTTTTAAATTTTTTTTTTAAGCTAGACAATGGGGTTAAGTAACTTGCCCAGGGTCACACAGCTAGTTAAGTGTTAGGTGTCTGAGGCCAGATTTGAACTTAGGTCCTCCTGAATCCAGGGCCAGTGCTCTATCCATTGTGCCACCCAGCTGCCCCATCCTTGATATGAAGTAGAGATGTCCATTGTATCTGGTCAGGTATAATCTGAGATTTTATTTTCTCTTTGAATTGGGCTTCAATGGTTTGTTTTAATTATGGAGTTGATCCCTAACTTCCTTATCAGAAAATTATTATTTGGAAACAAATATTCGAGTGCATCCAAGGAGCTGATGTTAAAGGAGCCCTGCAATGAAACCAATTATCGAATGAAAAATCCCCCTCTTTTTAGTGTAAATAATCGCTCCTTAGTCTGTTGGTTTTGCAAGTTTGGATCTGTACACTAGGTTTTCTTAAAATTAGGAAGCCCCCACCATGTGACCTTTCAGGAGTCCTGCCTGTTTTGGCCTACTGGGTAAGAGGTAGTAAGTCATTGGTTTCTGAGTTAATTTGTCCTTCTCTCATTTATTGTATTTGGGCACCATTATGAGAATCCTTTTCTAGGTTTGATGGGTAAGACAGGAGAGGTCTGCATTGTAGTAGAAATGCATTCAGAAATCAGTAGTCAGGTGTTTCATTTTGTCTGGAAATCTCATTCTGAGTCAGCTGGAGGTCATAATTATCACCTCCCAGTACCTCTGGGCACTTTTTGTGGGGAAAACACCAGTGGAGGCAGACACTTTCCCCCTACGGGGTTGGCTTTCAGCATCTTTCATAACTGTCTCATTCCCCTTATCCCCCTGCTTCCTGATCAATTTGTAAATGTGGATATCGCCTCCTCTCTTCCACGCTGCTGAAAGATACAATTCCGACACAAAGGAGACGTGAGTGATGTCCTTGATGAAAGGGAAGTTGGGTATCTTGGTGACAGTGATGTCTGGGGTCTGCTTGGTGACAGCAGATTGGAGGATAAGGTTGCCCAGATGTTTCCATTTCTACCCGATCAGAACCTGAGGGTACAGTGTTCCTAGATTCCATTTTGCCCTCTCAAGGGGTGTAGCTCTTACCACTTTCTCTACAGGGCACCTATGTATGTGAAATAATGATCCATCTAGTTATAGTGGCATCCTGCCCGTTCAGTGCATCACTACTATTTGTGAAATTTCATCAGAGAGTTTAAAGATGTGTCTTTATGAGATGCAATGATGTAGTGAGCAGTGTCATAGACTTTTTGAGCTTTTAAATCCCACATTAAATGCCTGATGGGCTAGCTAGGGTGCACAGCGGATAGAGTTCAGGACCTGAAAGACTCATCTTCCTGAGTTCAAATCTGGCCTCAGACACTTACTAGCTGCGTGATCCTGGGCAAGTCACTTAACCCTGTCTGCCTCAGTTTCTTCATCTGTAAAATGAGCTGGAGAAGGAATGACAAATCACTCCAGTATCTTTGCTGAGAAAACACCAAATGGGGCCATGGAGAGTTACTGAACAACCGCTGTGTGACCTTGGATAAATCACTTAAAGTCATAGGCTCATAGAGTTAGAACCCAAGGATGCCTCAGTGGCCGTGTATCCTAACCCCTTCATTTTACAGCTGAGGAAACAGAGGCCTAAACAGGATGAGAGACTTACGAAATGCCACACAAATAGTGACTTGAGAAGTTCTATAATGTGAAAGGGCCAGGTATCAGGGAAGTCAGGTCCTGTGATTCCAAAGCCAATGCACTTTCTGCTATCCTTCAATGCCTTTCTGAGCCTGTTTCCTTATCTGTAAAATGCAGAGGATTATAATAGCAAATACCTAGGCAGCTAGGTGGCATTGGAGATAGAGTTCTGGACCTGGAGTCAGGAAACCCGAGTTCAAATCCTGCTTCAGGCTGACTTGACTGTCACCGAACCTCTCACAGCCTCAATGCCTTCCTCTGTGAAATGAGGATAATAATAGTACCTACCTCTTAGTGTTGTTGTGAGGCTCAAATAACATCATAAAATGGTTTGCAAACCTTAAAGGGTTATCATGCTGGCTATTGTCATTATTATTGCTTCACTGGGTTGTGAAGATCAAAATAGATGACGTATACAATGTGCTTTGTGAGCCTGCAATGATCATTATTTATGGGTAAATCCTGAAGTTGTATAGGGCAGCAGGGCATTTCACCTTGTCCTGCTCCATCCCTTTCCCTAGCACCACTCCCAAGTGGGAGGAAGAATCATCTTTCTTTCCCCCCCCCTCCCCCAGTCTTCGTCTCTCCCCTTAGTCTTCCAGGAGTCTCATTATGTTAAATTAGAAGTTCTCCCATGATGAGAACAGTACGGTCAGATTGGGCTGTTCGTCCTCCTGCACCTGACTCTGGTTGGTGGGCATCAAAATTTCACACCTCATAATAGCCCTGCCGGAGGAGGGTGTCTGAACAATTGGACTGTGACACTTTAATAAATCTGAGACATTCAGCAACCGAGAGCAAAGTTCAAAATTGCTGAAATTGGTGTTAGAACAGATGGGGAAACAGACAGCTCAGTCCCCTGAATTGGATGGATAGCAATTGTCATTCAGTTTATAGATTCTAACTGTCAGGTTTTCAATGGATATGACATCAATTTTTAGTAATTTGTACTCCCTGCTACCTGGCCCTTTCACATTACTGGTACCAGGAGGTATAAATTCGTGGTCTAGCTTGTACTCTTGTTTAAAAAAAAATCCATGTCTTACTCCTCTGGTGCTGAGCAGTCATGTTTTGGAGTGTTAGACCAAGATGGGCTATTGTCGTTTATGTGAGTGTGATGACAATTTCATTGCCTTTTGGAAAAATTCATTAAAATGTGGTTATTGTGGCCATTTAAATGGCTTCTTGCAAAGAGAGGGCACAGTTCATAAGCGTAGAGACAATATGCTTGGTTCTTATGCAGTATTCAAGTCAATGAGTTTATTAGGCACCTACTGTTTGCCAGTAACTTAGGATACAAAGATAAATAAATCTATTCTTATCCCCCAAGAGATTATATTCTACCAAGGGAGGTACCACTGGTAGACAGTTAAGAAAATACAAATTATATACAATTCAACATTCATTTATTTAAGGGCCCATGGTATGCCATGGCCCAGAACCTGAACTCCAGGAACTTACATTTCATTTGTGAGGACACAAAATGAATATAGATAAATAAACACAATCTATATACAAAAAAACCCCACAAATTAATGAGGGCAGGGGTTACTGGACTGAGGGAATGAGGAAAGGTCTCCCGTACAAAGTAATTTCAAGATGGAGAAGCCCATTGATAACTGGGAGGATGGCAGCAGAGCGGCTCCTACAAGGAATCTATGAAATTTAGGAGGAAGTACATTCCGGAAATGGAGGTCTACCTGTGCAAAGTCATGGTGATAGAAAATGGAATGTTATGTTCAAAGAGCAGCTAGTTAACAGAAACTAAGAGTGTTTGATGAAGAGTAAGAATGAAATAAGATTGAAAAGGTAGGTAAAAGTCAGATTATTGTAGAGGGCTTTAAATGTCTGACTAAGGACTTTGACTTTAATTCTGGAGTAATAGGGAGCTACTGCAGATTTCTGAGTAGGTCAGAGTTGTCCTTTAGGGAACATCACTGTAGGGGATGGATTAGAAAAGGAAGAAACTAGAAGTATAAAAACCAATTAGAAGGTGATTGCAAAACGGCAGGCTAAGGATAATAAGGGTTTGAATGGGCAGAAGAAGTGATTTAATGGTCATCATATGAACTCGTTTCTATGCTTGCTGCTGGGAGTTCAGACCTGGTATCAATGGGGTCTAACTGTGAATGACTTAGCTCTTCTCAGCAATGCAATGATCCAAGACA